CCCAAAAAAACCAACAAAATACCCTTGCCGAGTGACACATAGTTCATTGCCCGCCGGTGTGGCACAAACTCACTTTTTACCATTTAACTTTAATATCCGGACATTTGCATTCCCCTATGACAACCGAAACAGCTAATGGGAGTAATAAGGTTTTAAAAATTCTCAAATCCTATTTTTTAGCGAGATTATGGCGTAGAGTTATTGAGCAGACTCACCGACAAAGCTAACAATAATCTGCTAAATGTAAGCGACATAGATCCCTCAAAACTGCGAACTTACTTCGAAAAAACTCTCTATGAACTTCGAACTGTTCGTCTGAAGACACTCGCAGAGTCCTCATCTCTAGAGGTAATATATCTTTCTGTGTGTTGCCAGTACACGTGTCTCACTGATAAATTAATTTATCAGTTAATTATACGCGCCGGGTATATCCGGCTATAAACTCGATTGCTTTGATACTGACGACTTCTAGGTGCATGCTAGAATACATTTATCGCATTGAGACTTTCGGTCAATGAATGTACGATTTCCGTCCAACTTAGTTGCTTTTATTATAATATTTCTTATGGTTGAATCGATGTGTTTTGTCTTCTGCTAGTCTCAGAAGCTGTACAAACTGGTTGAGGTAAATTATAAATGTTAGCGTTCTGAAAACAATGGTCTAATAGAAGCGCTCGCTAGGTTGATTTGATTGCCATTTTATTTGTGCGTTAGGGATAGCGATCAAGTAATTTAATGTCGACATTAAATTACTTGATTTGAGGTGGAGGCCGGAATTTTTGTTTAGCCTTTATGGTTAAGATTGATATTGGGTCCACCCCGGGTTGAGTGGTCGTGCGAAGCGAATTACCATTCACACTTAATCTCTGAAGAAATGAGACAACATAACTTTGTTGGCCTATCCTTCACACACAAATTATCTTTATCAAAATGCAATCTCATAACATTCCGCATCCTTTCCACGCCTTTAATACATGCTTATGCTCAGTGCACGCCTTTAGTTATACCGGTTTTTCTTATGAGATAGTGTCAATAAGAGTACACTGAAGTTCTTTGCTAACTTTTTAGTTTTATTTATTTTTGGTTATAAGTAATCGACAGTTTCGAGGATTCACATCCAATCCATGTGCTTAACACTGTCAAAATATTTGCCGTAAGGGATTTCCAATTTCCCATTTGTGCAGGAAAAATGCAGGAAAGTAAATGCATCCGTTCTGGCTGAAATGTTGCGGCTCACTGGTAGGCTAGAAGAGGCGACTACCTCCTTCAAACAACTTGACACCAAGATAAACGAAATCTCCGGCAAGATTATCCATCTGGGCGAACAGCTAGAACGCAAAAATGCTCCTCGTGAGCATCTCCAAGATGCTCGAAGGCTCATTTTAGAATTCTCGAAGTTCCTTGGGGCTGGCGGTGGCACATTCTCAAATTTTTCCATCAACTCGCCAGCTGAGGAAAATTCGGTATGTCACCAACAGCATTTCTTTACTAACGTTTTTCAGTTACTCGAAAAAGCCTCGAGCATCCGAACTCTTAGCGCACTCTGTCTGGAGTTACCAGATGATGAACGTTTCCTTGGTGCCAAACAGAGGATAACAGGTGTGTTAAATTTAAACAACCTCCCCTTTATGTATTGTGACTTTTGCATGATGTAGTGGCCAGTCAAAACCTTGAGAATCTACTAGTCAAACGTTTTCGCTACAATTTTTCCATCGGAAACTGCGAGATGATGCGTCGTATTGCGGAAGTCCTCGCCTCCACCAAAAGTCATTCCGTCTGTGCAGATGTCTTTATTGATGAACTGCTCAAGGTAAAGTCGTTCTAGTCCAGTTTGTTTGGTTCGATTTTTGGCTTTCAAACCCCTCCCACTCGGTAGTGCTTTTAGAGGTGCCACTTTGCAAGCGCATATTCTGCTTGAGCTTGGCTTTGCCCCCTCTTTCAGCAACATTTTTGCTAAATGTGATATTTTCCTGATTGGAAGATTGCTCCCTCTTTGCCGATAGTAGTGACTCATAAAATTTTGGAATACTCATCCTTTAATTTTATTTATCAGTACAATTGGATGATGGTAATATAAAGTAAAAAACCCCACAGCTTAACACGCCACACGCTACGATCTGGTCTACCTCATCATTTTGAATAGTTGCCGTTGGAGGGTAGGACTAGTTGGTGTTCAAAGTTTGCCTGCTTATCCGATTCTTAAAAAACAATATTTTTCTCATCTTTCAGACCCTGCCTTCAGACTTGAAGGACTTATCCTCGCTGCCGGATACATTTGCGGAAGCGGAACGGATCATTGACAAGATCTTCAGTCGACCTGAAACCGTCGTTTTTCATCTTATACAGAGCCTGTTCGCGCGCAACCTCAAGGTAGGTTGTGCTCTTAACACCCTGTTTTCTCATTAGTCTTGCAATTGCTGTTTTCAAAAGTAACCGACTTTTCCGCGTTAAAAATAATTCCAACCTAGAGCTAATCAAAGTGAAGGCTTCAAGCATGTTTCTCATTCACACACAGGTTTAACGTAGCGCGATCCTACCCTTCAATTGTTTAGAAAACTCTGTACGTTTGTCCCGACTGGCTGCTTATTGTGTATTTCCAATTGATCCGAAAATTGTAAGATCCATGTAATGATTTCGTTCATTTATGAATAAAAAGCAACAGTTTAAACCGTTCGAAAATTTGCATGCTTCTGTCAAAAGTTCCAAAGCTACTTATGACTCATTCGAGGCCAAATCAGTTTACTTAATCCGAATGACGGTTCACTTCTAATTTTCGCTCATCTTCCATACGTTCACGACAGTACAAGAGAACTGACCGGGCAAAGCCTCAGCGAACGCAGCTATTATTGGCGACTCAAATGTCGCGTTGGCTCTATAGACCTTTTGTAAGTGCTACAAACCGCAATGATTCGGAAGATGATGTAGCCTGCGAGCCATTTATCCCGAAAGGCGCCTGATACGCAATGCGGCTCGGCAACGCAGTACTTCGCAGTCGAATGGGAGTTAATTCATTCTCGATATCGTCAAAGTTTGGGGCCAGTGGGGCTAAGGAGTCGGTGGGACCGAGATCCGTCAGTCGGCTCCCGGGTGAAAATCGTACGTGGTCACAACCGTGTAGACCCCGCGCCAGGGTCCGGTCAATGGCGTAATTGAACAGGGCAAGTGTCAGACCGCAACACCGTCGAAAGGTAAAAGAGACTTCTTGTGACACAAAACTCACGCAGTGATGAAGCCAGTAGGAAAATTATATTTTTTACAGGCATACCGCCTAGTTCCATTCTTCGACGCAGGCGTGCAGAATCAAACAAGGCGGCGAAGCCAACGAAACAGAGAATTGCCGGCCATTGATACCCATGGTGAAATTGAAAATTGCACCGCAGTGTGAGCACGAGAAGACAACGATCGAAACCTTTGAAGCAACGCCAATTAAGTCTTTACCGTTGTAATTCTTGCCCTTTGTCTTACCTACCTTCGTGAAGACGCGCACAACCATTTTAAAGCCCCAGTCAGCAAAAGCGATCCCATGTCCTCCCATTTCTTACATTGCCCCATGAAGCCAGGGTGTAAGAGTGTAAACAGAGAGATGTCAGTGGGAGTCTCGCCGTGTTGCACCAGCGCATTCCTCCCGGTGAGAATGGGCTACGTCACACTGCCTATGTTAGATAGAAATAAAGTCCAACCACAAACTGCAAAAGCGTGATGGGTTAGCCATCCAAGTTGAGGAGATGCTCAGAGTACCGACGTCGATCCTCGACCGGGGCGAAAAGGTCGCCACTCACTTGACGAGATGACAGCCGATGCAGGGGACTTATCCCCAAAAATGGTAAGTAATTAGTGGGGCCTAGCCTATTTTGCGGTCATTTTCCGGAGTTGGTAGGAGGACTAATCGTTGCGTCGTCTGGACAGATAACTACGCAGTCCTTCCACTGACGCAGTCATTGCGATATTCCTAGGTTCTTCCAATAATTCTCTCAATTGCGTCATATAATGATGCGTGTTTTCTACTTCTCCCTCGGCTCGAATCATAAAATCGGACCGTATATTCGCTGCTCAGAATACCAATTATAATCGGTTATCGTATTGTTGCATCAATGCTTCTTGTGTCTGGCCATTTGGGCGTGAATGCGAGGTTAACTTTGCAGTAGCCGTTCTAATGCTTCCTTTCTCTGGCGTCTCGGTCCCCTAGGTTTGAGCTAGCAGTTGATTCAGTGTCCTCTTTCTGGTTAAACGATAGCAGCTGCTCCAGTTTTCCCCTTTTTTTCCTGCATCCTGTCTACCGAGAAAATTCCGCTGACTAACAGCCGTTCCGCTGAAGCGCGGCGGCCCCCAGCGTTGACCTCAGCTCATTCAGTCACGTGTGCAGACAACATGCATCTTACGCGCATAGGCCAGTCTGCCTTGTCACCCATGATCCCTTGCGTTTATGCGCCTCGCCCCTGACTGTCCTTTTTGAGCTGACCAATCATACACCCAACACGCATTCCCGCGTGCTGACACGAACAATGACAAACCCGTATAAAATACTTCGCTGCTCACACGCTCCCGTACGGTCGTATCGTTCACACGCAAGCGAACAATCAATCCACGACAACTTGCCTTGTGTGCCCAATAAATCGCCTCCAGCATGTTATCGCCTTCTTCCATTAGACGGTCTTACTTACTTGTACTTGTTATGGATGTGATCATGTCTGATCTAGCTGGCCTCAATGATGTCACGGACGGTACCTCTCCGTGCGTGACGTTTGGCGTCAGTGGATCTGGAGAGCAACACCCAGTCTCTTTGCCGGCGACGGAGAGCGAAGATAGAAGGTCCAAGAACTGCTTCCATGTCTTGACGGACGG